CTCTTCTTCCCTCCTTTCCTCAGGATCCTGAACTTGATCATCTCATGGTCACTGCTGCCCAAGTTGCCATCCACTTCTACATTCCCTACCAAGTCTTACTTGTTTATGAGCAGCAGGTCAAGAAGAGCAGGGCCCCTAGTTAGCATCTCCAATACTTGCACCAGGAAGTTGTCCCCAACACTCCCCCAAAACTTCCTGGATTGTCTGTATACTGCTGTGTTGCCTTCCCTGTGGATGTCCGGGTGATTGAAGTCCCCTATGAGAACCAGGGTTTGTGATCTGGAAACTTTTGCTAGCTGTTTGAAGAAAGCCTCATCTACCACGTCCTCCTGGTCTGGTAGTCGATAGCAGACCCCCATCATGATGTCACCCTTGTTGCTCTCCCCTTACCCAAACCCAGAAACTTTCAATAGGCCTATCCCCAGTTTCATATTGAAGCTCTGAGCAATCATATGGCTCTTTTACATAAAGAGCAACTCCTCCTCCTCTTCTCCCCTGCCTGTCCTTCCTAAAGAGTTTGTACCCATCCATGACAGTGCTCTAGTCATGCAAGCTATCCCACCAAGTCTCTGTTATTCTAATCATGTCATAGTTGTGGGACTGCACACGGACTTCCAGTTCCTGCTTGGGCACATCTACACAAGATGCTTACTGCTTAGTAACTGAATAATACTGTGCAGTAGCGCATCACAGCACTAACAGTGCTAATACTCTACTGCTCATTATTATTAGGCTACTGTGCAGTAGTGTCACTTAAAAGACATTCACTGGCACTACTGTGCAGTAACTCTGGTTAAACAAGTACTAAATAAATGCACAGCAACCACTGCACAGGAGCTTCTCATGTAGATGTGCCCCTTGTTTCCCAGTGTAGCAGAGCAACAACCAAGGCTCTGTGTCCCTTTTTCAGCCACTATTACACCATGGGGGACAGCAGGGAACACAGAAATTGCTGGTTGCCAGGTTGGGGAGTAGATCCTGGGAAGGCCCAGGAAAACCCCATACCAATGAACTCACCTGAGGGTGCAGCTAAGCAGCAATGAGCTGAGAGGCCAACGGGTTGGTCCAGAGAAAGAATTAAAGGCAGCTGTCACTGACAGGAAGGAGGAGATAAGAAGGAGCAGAGACTCCCAACTGCAGCACTCCGAAACATGGGTGAGAGGGGCAAATGGCCCCAGCTTTTTCTGTTATTGTGCATTTCTGTTAATTTCCCATGGATGTGAAGGGAGTTTAGGGGTGGTGGAGCTCCCATCTGATGGTGCCCTGCTTTACCTGCTTTACATGCCCAGGGCAACTGTGCCTGTTGGGCATATCCAACCCATAAAGGGGAAAACCCTTAAAAGCAGACTGAGATTGCAATGGGACAAGCTTTTTCTTTGAGGGATTTCTATAGCCTAATGTTGAAACCAAGGAGTGGACTGAGAATACAGAGTGATAAGCCTTTCATTTGAGGGACTTGGTGTGGCATTAAGGTGAACTGCCTCCTTGTTGTGTAATTTACCCTAACAACATGTCATGGCAAGTGAGAAAGGCAAAATGTGGCAGGCACCTATAGGAAAATCTCAGTCATGGTAGTACCCAGTCCTGGGCATCTACCCTGATGTGCCCACACCCAGGCTCTGTGCATTCATGTACAGACACCTGAGCTAACTAGCCACTGTGGTAACTAGCCCTGTTTTCTCAGGAACAATGAGAAAGCCTCCCCTGTTCCCCCCTGTAGATTTTGCTTCCTAGGTCACCTACTTCCCTGCTTACCTCAGGGCTTTGGTTTCCATCCCCTGGTGAACCTAGTTTAAAGCCCTCATCACTAGGTTAGCAATGCTCTCCCCACCACCTTTGTCAGATGGATCCCATCTTTTCCTAGCAATCCTTCTTCTTGGAACAATAGCCTATGATCAAAGAAGCCAAAACCCTTCTGGCAAGACCATCTGCACAGTCACGCATTGATCTTCAGGATGCCTTCACTCCTGTCAGGGCCCTTCCCCTTTACCAGAAGTCTCAATGAGAACACCACCTGAATCCCTGGGGACTACACATGTAGTCAGGGGGCTGGATGAGTCTCAGTAATCCTTCCATGACATCTTGGATCTGGGTTCCAGGCAAGGAGCAGACCTCCCAAAACAACAGGTCAGGCCCACAGATGGATGTCTCCTTTCCCCTGCAGAAGTGAGTCTCCAACCACCACCACCCATTGCTTCCTCTTGGTGGCAGTGGTCTTGATTCTCCCAACCTTGGGGAATGCCTGGCCTGGCCTCCTCCATCACTGTAGCATGCTCTTCCTCCTCTGTTGCTAGGGCTTCATATCTGTTCTTCAGGCAAACTGCTGCAGATGGAGATTAAGACTTCTGCTTGCTGTCAGAGTTCACAAGTTACCAGCTTCCACCTTCCTGGGAGTCCCCGTCCTCTTCCTTCTCTAGCACTGCCATCCTTCTTCTGCAGTTCTAGAAGTCTCCTCCAGTATCAAATTGATGAGGTCCTCATGGTGCAGGATGCTTTGGAGCCTTGCCACATCCTCCTGTACTTCTCTTGCCTGCTCCTTGAGGGACACCATCAAGAGGCACCACTCACACTACAGGCACTCCCCCACCTGGCTGTCACTGGAAGGAACCTGCAAGTCACAGTCTCCAAAGTGCCAAACCAGAATCTGGGTGGAAGCCTCGATGGTGAGCAGACCTGTGTGGACAGACCATGTCACACTTGCAAGCAGAGGAAGAGCTGGCAGTGGCAGTGGCTCTAGCATTGCGACATCCTCCAGCCATTTCCCTGGGTCTCTTAATCTGTCACCTCTCTCTTCCTGCTCCTTTTTCCAAGCAGATCTTTCCTAGGAAACTCCCAGGTAAGTTGGCCTGTTTGCTGCTCCTTGATCCTGAAAAGTTCCTTTTTCCCTGCTAATCTGTTTCCTGTCACCAACCTTACAGTGAAGGCAGGTGAGAGAGATTCCAGGCAACTCCCTAGAGAACTCACCCTCTCTATAGACTCTAACAAAATATGGGTCTTAAGTATTAGTTTTAGTTTTATCTATTTATAGTAAATATATGTAGGTTACTTACCTATAATTAAAGAAAGAAATTCACTTAAAGGCTCACCTTAAAAGAGTGGAGGCAGGGGGTGGGGGGAGATGAATTGACTTGTGAATTACATGCAAACAGCCAGCCCTCTCTATGCACTCTATGGTCACTTTGGGAGTCTTCTTTTATACCCTCTTTGGCTTGGACTGGCTACATCCTCTGGTTAGGGCTTTTGTCAGACAAAAACAGCAATCACCAAGCCAGTAGTATTCACAGCTAATCAAAGAACACACCCAAACACACAAGCCACAAAAAAAAAGAACTCAGCAGGCCAATCACAAAGGCAGCCCTATTTTACTTTACCTTCCCAGAGAAAAATATGGTGCATGTTTGCTCTGCCTCTTCCCCTTCCTCCACTTGCTCCCAGCAGAATGTTGGAAAACCGCACTGTTTTCTGACCCTGTTCGCTTGCCTCACATGCACAGTTCCCCCACAGCACAGCTCGCTACCATACTCTTCTTCCAAACCAAAAGGAGAAAAAAGGCATGGGCATGCCAACTCCCTTTCTCCTTAGGCAGCCTGTCCACCTTGTTCCTTGCAACACATGTCCTTGCCTGTCCCAATCAGGAGATTTCCTGGGCAGCGTGGCTGGAGGCATTGACACTTGTCTTCCAGGACGACTCAACCTTGGGTACGGCTCCTCCATTCAAGGGCGTTGGCAAGACAAAGGCTGAGAACAGGCTCTCTGCAACAACCTGTGCCTGATTGCTGCTATCACCTTCACAACACAACAGCCAGCCAGCCCACAACTCAGCTGCACACTTCTACCACCCCCACAGTTGGCTGGCACCACATCTTCACCTCCTGACTGACACAAGCAAGGCTTCAGCTCGCTCTCCCTGCCGGCCTCACCTGAACGAAACCCATTGCTTCCAGGAAGGCCAATCCCTTCTGTTCAGAGGGACCAAGAGCAAGGTACATGCCAAGAAGCCCTTACCTGGGCTGCTGGCTCATGAATTAGCCTTAGCAAGCTCTGGCTTAGTCCCTTGTTCCTGGTCCCCCCACACTCATTCTGGGACCAACCTGCCTTGTCCCAGGACCAGCACAGCATGACAGGATGAAAACCTGCCATGGTCAAGACAGCAAGGCAATAGAAGAAACTCCCTTGCTTCTCCTGGACCTACGCACAGGCTTCTATCAGCTGAATTGTCTCCCTGGCTAAACCCAGAATATGTCTGCACATCAGAGGCCACCCAGTTGGACACCCCCCGTGTTCTCATGGTCAGGGAACCCGCTTCACACCAAGCAAAGGCCCTTGCAGACAGCTGCCAAGAACCTTGAAAAAGGAAGTCATCCCAAGTAAGGGTCTTGAGAGGACCAGGGCCAAGACTTATAAGAAGGGAACACCCAGATTTGAACTGGGGACCCATTGATCTGCAGTCAAATGCTCTACCACTGAGCTATGCTCCCACAGAGGCCTAATTGCCTCCTTCCCCTTGACCCACCTATTCACCTTGTCCCTTTCAACACGTCCTGTCCAGTTCCATTCACGAGACCTCTTGGGCCAATCCTGTTGAGAAGGACAAAGAACAAGGCACATGCCAAGAAGCCCTTACCTGAGCTGCTGATACATGAATCAGCTCCCACATACCCTGACTTAGTCCCTTGTTCCTGGTCCCTCCACACTCATCATTCCAGGACCAACCCAGCTTGTCCCAGGATGAGCACAGGATGAAAACCTGCCACGGCTGAGAGAGCAAGGGCAATAGAAGAAGCTGCACAGGCTCCCCTGCTTCTCCTGGTCCTGCGCAGAGGCTACCATTGGCTGAATTGTCTCCCTGGATGAGGTCAGGATGTGTCAGGGAACCAGCTTCACACTGAGAAAAGGCCCTCACAGACAGCTGCCAAGAACCTTGAAGCAAGAAAAAGCCATAGGAGAAGAAAGCTAGGGGCCTTAGGAAGACCTGGTATCCTAGGCCAAGATTTATAAGTAGGAAGCACCTAGATTTGAACTAGGAAACACTTTGATTTACAATCAAATGCTCTACCACTGAGCTATGCTCCCACAGAGACCAGATATCATCCCCTGCCTTGGCCCACCTCTCCACCTTGTCCCTTGCAATGCATGTCCTTCTCAGTTCCATTCATGAGACCTCTTGGACAGCTAGATTTAACCTTGGGTACAGCTCCTCCACTAAAGGTGCTGGCAAGACAAATACTGAGAACAGGCTTCCAGCAACCACTTGCCAACCCCTGCCTCTTTCCCCT